GGTTTTTTTTTTTCTATGCCATTTGAATGGTAGGCTAAATTTTATATTTTGTAATCTTATGAGTGTTGTTGGTTCTTTTTAGTTATAGTTGTCTTCATTACAGCATTAAATGACAAGGACCTGTTTTAGATGCGTTATACAACTTTTAGTAAAGGCTAATAATGAATATCTTAAGTGTTTGTGGAATGGTCGAGTAATTCATTGAAATTAGACTACTCTATACATTTACCAAAATGAAAGATTGAAATGCGTGATTTTAAACGCGAGTCGGGGGCCGCCAGAGCCCCCGCCGGGGTAGCGTCGGAGCCCGGTGTGGGTTCTGGCTACGAATCCCCTTGGCGCTCCTATCCGACGATCTGAGCATTTTAAAGCTGCTGGAGTGTTTGTTGACAGTACCGAGTATATAAACAAAAATATTTTTAATAAAGCCACGTAGGCTTACTCAAGTTTCAATGTAGGCCTACATGTTTAATCTGAGCACCCGAACTATGTACACAGACATTTCATCACTACAAAAATAAGGCCACAGTGGTGAACCTTTCAATTCATTCAACAGTTACAGTGTCGAATGAATGGGAAGGTTCACCACCGCTGCCTTATTGTTTAAACCAACTAGGTTGTGAAAATCATATTGATAATTATGTATTCTTTGCTTAAAGTTACAAAATGTTTTACCATATACCGTATTGTTGTGTAGCACAACAAAAGTAGAATTTGAAATTACCAAAAACATTATAACGAGTTGCTTAATTACCGGTACTATATTATCTTTGGTCCGTGAGCCCAACTCAAAAAAAAAAAATGTTGACCCTTTACACAAATTAATTAAGAATCAGGAGTCGGGTGTAGGAGTATATATACTCGAATATATTTCCCCTCGTTACATGGAGTGGAGTGTCCAATGGAGGGGTTCTACTGTGTGCATGTGAAGCCAGATTCCATAACATCGCTACAGTGTTGTCACTGCAATAGTTGGACCGCATAAACTGTCCCCGACGCAATCTGGAATGCTCCACGACTTGACCGACCAATGAGCGTCACCGAAAGGAGTCAACGATAACGTAGCAATTTTATTGAAACCTGGCTTAATATTCCAACATCAGAGTTTTTGCGTATTTTTCACAAATTGTCCAAAATAAATAAAATACTTCGAATTTCTAAATTAAAAGGGGAGTCAGAATTGATAATTGGATAACCAATTACTTTCTCACCCTACCAGGCTCAGGCGGTAAACAAGAAATGAATGGTCTGTGATTGTGGAACGCAGAGTTGTCCCTATAATAATTTAATCCAGTTGTGTATCGAGAAGGGTGTTGAATCGAGGTCTTAATTGGATACTAGTAGGGGATGACAAGGATGAACATTCACCTACATAATACCAGGGTTGTGTTTACCTAGGGTAGCGTTTATTCACACAAAATCATGTTAAAATAGACCTCTATGGCCTTTAATCAATGAATACGCCCACCTTTACTCAATGCAATCGATGTTAAAGTTGATAAGACGAGAATATGTGTCGTACTCCAATAAGATACCTTTGTTCACAATCTAGAAGTGCTGTCAGCTACGGTATAACCATGTCTGATAAATTATTGTAATTTAGTTATTGAAATTGTATTTTATTGTTGTCTGTTGACATTTGATTGAAAATGAGACTAAATGGCCAATCTTGTGATTAATTAGACTCGAATTAATATTTCAACTAAGTTTGATACACCATCTGTTAGAAAATGCTGGGCTGTGACGTCGGCAGTCTAATTATCTTTCCTGATTTTGTTCAACGACATAGCTCTCCTCATCATACAATAGTTGTAGCCTATTATATATATTATTAAATTATTAAACTTAGATTATATAATTTGAAAAAGTAACTGGATTGTTATATTTCGTTGCTATCAAATGAACTATCGGTCTAATGTGTTATATGGTTGCACGAAATATAATCAATTACTTAAAACTGGTGGGAACATTTGTGTGAGTTGTGCCAGCTAAATTTTCTGTGATTCAACATCAACAACAATAACAATTTTTTTTTTTACTATTAATAGCTCAGTAGGTAAACCTTCAATTATAAGTTGTACGCTATGCGATTGCAGTGATTTTACAGATAGGCCTATTTGTTATTTTTTCCCAGACACGTACCCTCGGTGGTTGTTAGTGTGCACGTCTACAGTAAGACATATGTTGGCAAATCATATACTGTATAAACTTATTCCCCTCACCAGAAGATCATTGGGTCAATACATCTTGATTACTTTATTCTGATAGATCGATACATCGCGTTCTCGGGTCACCGTCGTCGGTGGCGTACTTTGCAGTGCCTGTTTATTTTTAGAGGTACAGTCGAACCCTTCGTCATTCAGTGTTCCTCTGTCATTCACATCAGGTCGTCCATCCCAAACAGCTCTAGGCTAACAACTTTTAACGCAAGTATGTCTGCAGACAAGTTTAAAGGTGTCTATGGCCTCCACAAAAGCGAAAATTTCGATGCCTACATGAAAGCCCTTGGTAAGGATAATTTATAATTTATACCAATTAGGCCTATTATGATTTCCATTTTTATGTCATATATTTTCATTTAAAGTTTCTTGCCATAGACAAATAATATTCTTTCTCATATTTCATCCTTGGTTTATGAGAAAGAAATAATATTCTTTCTCATATATCGAGGATGAAATATTATTTTGCTCATGCTGGCCTACAGGTATTAGTCTAGTCAACCACGTGATATTTTTTTCTTACAACGACATTTGCTAATCCGTTTTCTTTAGCACCGTCATGTTTCCTGCAGTCAAATTCGTCACCTTTTTGATAACTAAATTTGGCGAACTGCTCTATTCATATTACCATTTAAGGCCAAATAATAGCAAAAATGAAATGAATGAAATAAAACACGCTTCTTTTCCGGGTTGAAAGGGGTTGATAAGGGCTCTTTATTTAGAGTGTCGAAATACAAAAGTCATTGTCAAACATGCCTTTTCGTGTTTTGCACTTTTGAATGTATAGGCCCTATTGATTATGGCCCGGTACCGATAAAAATAGACATTCATGTTTCACCTACGTACTCTATAGGCAAAAGAGTGAATTCACTAAAGAGTGCCTCGATCACAACTCACTATAGTACAATTTCACTCCGTGAATATTAAAAGTATTAATTTTATTCCTAAATTAGTGGAAATGACATAATTGTTCAATACTGGTGTGATTACTGTGGGTCACCGAGTCCCCTTTTCACTCTTTTGGCAATTAGGTAGACTGATGTATGGTTGTTAATTGCGGAGTTGGTAATTTTAGTTGTAATCATATCAGAAATTAGGCATAGGCCTACACTCGGCACCATATAGTACTATATTCATAGCGTAAATTCTGTTCAATCTATATGTAGTTTAGGTATTCCATCAATTGAAATTGTGCCAGCACGCATGACCTCACTCCACAAAACGCCTATGGTGATAGGTGCCGCGTGATATTGAGTTTCTAGCAAGCCTATAATTACATACATATGCTGGCTATGGTCTAAAATCAGCTTATAACACTATGATATCCACTGCTATCATAATAATATATATTTCTTCGATGTAGGCTTATCAATAGTTGTTTTAGTGAAAAGTGTGCTTTACTGACCTATATCCACATTAATAGCACCATATACATTTAACATTTACAATTTTCCCGGTTATCACAAATTCCATTAATTTTCTGAACCTCAGGGGTTGGTATGGTGCTGCGAAACCTTGGCAACACAGCAAAACCTACACTGACTGTCACTGTGGAAGGCGACAAAATGACGTTTCATTCAAAGACCACTCTAAAAACAACCGTAATTGAGTTCACGATAGGAGTAGAGAGTGAATCGACAACTATGGATGGAAGAAAGATTAAGGTAGGCCTACTGTGTAATAATAAATCAATGATACCCGCATTTCAATCATAATTCAAGTCGAAGTGAGTATAGGCACGACCATATGCCCATGGAGTTGTGGTGGTGGCTGCATGATAAAATAGAACAAACTTTTTTTTATCATTTTCATTATTTTTACAAATAAATAAATTATATCTTTTAAAAATAATATATTATTAAAGCCAGACCTGCAGAAAAAAATGTTTTGATATGTTGTACAACTGATTTTTCTAAGACACAAAAAGCATATTTGACGAAAAACTAGAAACAATTTAAAAACATTAGCGATATTCCATAGCCATTTTATGACTGAGTGATATATATATATATAGGCCTATATATCTGTGAATTTTAAGTTTAAAATGCAAATGGGAAAACCCATAAAACAGCAAACGGCGATATAATGCAAAACAATTTAAAATTAAAACGGAACGGTATATANTATATACACTTATATATACAGCAAAACAACAGAGACGAGCCCAATAGAGGAAGCCTGAACCGGATTCAAGCATAACTGATCAACAACATTCACAATTCACATTGTAATGACGTTGCTATTTGCCTTTTTTTTTTAAAGTCGACAGTTGTTTGGGACGGTGAAAAATTAAAGGAAGAACAAGTAAGTGTGGACGGAAAGGGCAAACCAACTACGATAGTAAGGGAGATCAATGCAGATGGTGATTTAGTCATCGTAAGTATTCACATAATATTTGAACATCAAGAAAAGTTTTCGAAAGATTTTACTAATGAAAGGAAAGTTTCGTGAAATGTGTATAAAATTTACCCCTCCAATGTATTCATTATTTTAGAGTTTAAAATAAGGCCTATTCAGGTGACAGTAAACGGCTTAACTTTTGTTGTAGCCAACTGAGTATTTGGTCATCCTTAAAGTGGTACAGATTAAAACCCCTAGATTTTGAAATTGAATACCATGCTTCGCTGATATAAGGTAGTGTCTGGTCCAGGGTGAGTTGTAAACAAAGGGAAATTAGCATTATAACAGGGCTATGTCTGTGATTTTGTAAACTATAGGCGAATCCTAGTCGGGGAGAGCAACACCAACCATTTTTATTGATACACAGTTTTTCCGCTTGTATGCTGAGCTGCGTATGCATGGTGGCGTGAGGATGGGGTGAGGTGGGGTATATATTTAATACCAGTGAGGTGTTAAAGGAGGAATGTTTACTCGCATTCAGTACCAACAGTATGTTTATCGGGGCAAATTTTATCCACACAAAACTTCATGTTAAGCCTGACCTTTAATCAATAAACACGCCCGCCTTAGTTTACAATGTAATCGCTGTTACTATGTTGATCAGACAAGGGGCGGATCCAGAGATGTCCAAAAAAAGGGGGGCCGAAAATGGGGCCGAAAGTTGGGCCGATCGAGACAACACGTCCTAGGGGGTCCGGGGGAATGCCCCGCGAAATTGTTGTGTTATAGACGCCTGAAAATAACATTTGAGGCGTTCTGGGCTGCCATTTTTTTCTTTCTTTCTTTCTTTTTTCCCCTTTTTTTTTTACCTCCCGGGGGGGGGGCGGGGCCGGGCCGGTTCCCCCTAAATCCGCCCCTGTCAGACGAGTACAGTACCTATGCTCACACTGCAGTATAAGATAAGTTTAAACACTAATGGCCTTTTCAACTATCTCTTTGATAAATTATTGTATAGCTTGGTTATTTAAGTTGCCGCATATCAAAGCCAGAATGTAGACTGTATTGGGTGCTGCTACATTTTAGTGTTGCTTGACATTTATTAGACAAAAAAAGTTATTCTGGGGACCTATTGTGCTCGAATACTGCGATCACACTAGATTGGCCTTCCTCTTTATCTTTCGTTTATTGTACACAACACACAGAATGATAAACGCCGACGGCATCGTAGTTACGTAGTTGGGCCTACCTGGTAAAACCAAAAATGGAAATATTGTAATGCCTTACGGCACAAAAAAATTGACTCGATTATTGTCATTCTTCACTTTTTTGAATAACCTGTTGGTACTGACTTTTAACAGTGGTATAAGTAGGCCTACTATATGTGCGGGTAACGCTTCAGGTAACGTCTCAGCTGTTAATAGTTAAAGTATTAAAGTGCTTTAACAGTCAGTGGTTTAACTGCATTTTTCGCTGTACAGGCTAGTAGCCAGGTTCTTCCAAGGGTGGTGGGAGGTTCTCTGGATGTAAGTTCCAGGATCGAAGCTCCGGTGGGGTCGGCGAAACCACCTACGCCAGAGATTTTTTATGTTGTGTCTAAATGCTGTAATAGCAGTTAGGCTTATGTTTGAAAAAGGTCTGCAGCAAAACATTCGGTCTGAGTCTATGGGTGAGTCTGCAGTGCAGTGTAGTGCATTAGTTGGGTTCAGGCCCGTATCTAGGGGGGGGGGGCTATGATTCGGGAGAACCACCTTTTCTAAAAAACCCCCCTCTTCAAATTTCCCAAATAAGTCCTCCATCCCAACTAATGCACTGCAGAGCAAACCAACCCAGACACAGACGTTTTCAAACATATCTGCTTTTATAGCATTATTAAGACCCATAAAGTACAAAAATCCTCTTGCTCTGGGGGTTTCGCCGACCCCACCAGGGACTCCGACCGTGGACCTCGCGCCCAGAAAACCCCCGGTTGGAAGAACCTGGCTACGGGCATGGGGTTGCAGGACTCGTTCAGGAAAGTCGAGGGGGAGGAGGTTCGCCAGTAAAAAGGGGGTTTGTTAGAAAAGGGGGTTTGCCCGAACCATAACACCCCCCCCCCCCCCCCCCCCTACGTTTGTAAGCCTGTCTCTTATACACATCTAGATGTGTATAAGAGACATGTATAAGATTGAGCCTATAATGTGAATTCATAATTCAGTAGTAATCTTACTACAGGCAATCTTTCGGAAGGGACGTTAAGCCGTTGGTTCATCAACATGTCCCTTCTTAAAATTGTTGTAGGCCGGAAAAGAATACTGTCCAACCCGAATTTTTGTAGTTACTCCGCATTCAAACTAGCCTCGTTGGCACATTAACTATAGAAACACATTGATATAATTTTAGTGGTTAGTGTGGATAAAGATATTACAATTTATAGTTGTGTTTCTTTTTTCGCAGACATGCACTGTTGACGACATTGTTGGTGTTCGTGTCTACAGAAAGAAATAGAGCTATATGGTTATTTTAGTGGGATGATGTCTCTACTAGGCATATAAGACTGTTGAAAATTATGTTGATTGTTCAAGGTGGTGATCATAACGTTAAACAAACACCGGAAATGAGAGAGTTCGAGAATGTTTGGACAGAAGATCCAAACAATAAATGATCATGACATGGCGGTATTATTTTCGAAGTTACTTCAGTGTACAACCTAATACCTCCATGTCATAAATGTAGTGTAATACGAAAAGTTTCATATGAGCTTCACGAAGTTCAAAATATGAGAAACAAAACTAGGAAATGATGAATCATGCCGGAAATGAGGATGTAATCCTTTGGGAGTCAATGATGAAATGTATCTGAACATAATCGATTAAAATGAAAATATATATAATATATAATAGATTTATATAAGGTGTTACCAAAACAGCAGTAACTAATTTATTCACATGATTATTGACTTTTATTGTAATCATGACGGATACTGCAAATTAAACTTCTTCCAGTTTTAAATGACTTCGGGCTGAGTATTATTAGAGTAAGCGTGCTACTTGACATTACAGTGATTTAGTATTAAATTCATAATAAATGTTAATTGTAGACTATACAAAGTCGATGATCAAATATCTAACGTTTTCAAATGAACTTCGTGTCGTTGGCGGATGGTGTGTTTTGTCGGGGAGGATGGGGTTGCGCAATTGGCATTAGAAGATTTATGGTCCGTATGGTTTCCGAGACCTACGGCACGAGGGTGGTTGTTATTTTGCCTGTTTTAGAATTCCGAATTAGCTTTTTTCATCTTTTATCTGGATTTCACACCCGGTTAGAAATTGTTTGGTTGCTGCCGGTGGGGCCGGGACGGAGTTAGTGGCAGCGCCAGCGGAGGGCAGGGGGAATTTCCCCGTCGTTCGACGCCACAACGAATGAAATATAATAATTTTCCTATCCAAATAAACGTTATTTTGATTGCCAATCCCTAATATTGTGGACTAAAAGTACAATTTGGGTCCTGCCATAACAGCTCTCCCAGGGAACCCCACCAGGAATTTTTATTCCGGGACCTGACAGAGGCTCTAGTCGGTCCCTTGGTTCGGATCCCCTCCCGTCGGACATGTCGGACCTCCTTTCGGCAAATTTCTGGAGCCACCGAAGGGCGGAGTGGGGGAAGCGTCTTCTTCAACCACTTAATCTGACACTCGTTGCCATATAAAACAGAGTTACTGTCAGTTACTGACTGAAACCTCTGTATTGGAAGACAATGAAGTGGCAGCCACTGGTCCACTCAGATGTGACGTCATAATTGATATTACCGATTATAACAGGTCCGTAAAGGAAGCAAATATTATTGGTCTGGCCAACGAGAAGAAATTCCCGCCCCTCCCCACCTCATCCTAGAGAGAGCGACTAGTGGCGGCAGGAGGATCGAAGCTTCTGTCGACGGAGCATCCAGACCTCAGCCCCATCGGGACAGAAAAATGTTGTTTATGAAAGAGATTATTTACAATGTATTTGCTTATTCCTCCATTAATAAATGAAGTGCAAGAAAGACGAATGATGATACAATGAATAAGAGTGACTATATTTACGCAACGTGCAGGATATTGTGGAATATAAACAATATGCAATTACATAAAACATGTGATATGAATGCACAGGATGTAATCTAATATGCTATGCATTATATTTGAAAATAGGCCTCAAAATGAATGAAGTGGACTACTGTAGAATTTCGAGCGGCCTGAAGCATTAATAAATAGTTTATAACGCTCTAGATGAGGTGTAATATTACTTGAATTGTTGAAAGTGGCGCTTATTCAAACTGGGCGATTACGAAAACAGAGTGGAAATTGAGGGGGCGCTTATGGAAATAGATAAAAATCGAGGGGTGCTTGCGACAAAATTCAAGAGGAACTTTTTGAATGAAAACAAAAAAATATTCATAGTAGTCCTACCCCATGAACGAAGCCAAGATTGAGTACCGATATATCTGGAAGTCGATAAACATAAATGACAACGTTCAGAATATCAATTGACTGAAATCTCGCTGTATACGAGTTTGTTTTAATCACAATCACAACCGGTAATTGTACCTATCAAGATTTTTACATGCGACTGTTGAGGTCAGTTTATTCTTGTTGAATAAAAAAAAATGTAAATATTGTAGTTTTAAATCCAAGATGATGTACAGGGAGCATTAAAATTAGAACGGGATTTATTGCATCAAATTGAACACCATATTAAAATTTAATGGAGACTGACCGACCGACAGATGGAAGAACCGACAGACAATGCTGAGATGCGAATCCCGGGTAGTTGATGCATCTGACAGAAAATTAAGTCGGTGATGTACTGACTGCACTGTATAATTGACTTTGATTTTTAGAAATCGCGGAGGGGCGCTTATTCGCGCGAGTTATACGGTAAGTGCTGCAGTTGTTCGCTTCTGCTAGAGCCTTAAACCGATTACACTTTAGTTTTAATCAATTCTTGGTTTATTTATGACAGACAGACCATGTAGATCTACCAAATGATAAAGACATAGGCCTACTTAATAGAGCACTCAAATTGAAGGGCGATGATAGAAAACGATGACGGTGATGATTGTGATGACGGTGATAACGATGATGCATATACCGAAGTGAAGTGAGCCCACGTTGGAATTAAGGGGAAGGGCCGTCTCCAACCAACAAAAGTATATAAATAGTTAATCGTTATTTTATATTTATACTTCCAAACATTTTAAAAATCAGTCTTAATTACTAAAATTAAAATATTAACAAATTTGAAATGTACAGGCAATACAAAAACATGCGCATGGTGGAATTTTTAATGTTTAAATGTACTGTACCGGTAACATAAAGAAGACAATGTGACGCAAACATTAATAATATATAATCTATAGGTATCTGTATATATTTATATAAAAAAATAATATCATAATTGAAAAAAAGTGAACAGGTGCCGTTCCGACAGCACTGAGAACAAAATAATTAAGTAATTAAAGTATATAATTTAGGCCTACAGTTTCTATATAGATGCCGATTGCCGTCGTTGTTCTCCTAACAATACAGTATATGTAATGGATTGTGATAGGGTTGGAATGGATGACAATTTGCAAGGCTTAGCGCTCAGCCACCTAAACTTTTGTTGAGTTTCGCTACGTTTGTAAGCAGTTCGGACAATCTTGCTTCTAGGTTCAGTGCTCTCATCTCGTCTAGTAGTTTTCTCAGTTTTCTTCTTCTTCAAGCGTCTACTTTCCCGTTGTTCTGGAGAAGTCTCGTGTACTCTGACGGTTGCTAGCGTCAGTGTAGACAAGTCCGTTATTTGAATGTCCTCAAGTGCTTGACAAACTGGAGCACTATAAGAGAGATTCATAAATGACATCATAAATATACATATACTAAATTGGCACTTGTGAAACGCGAAAACTGTCAAGAAAAATATTAATTATACACTTAAACCCACTCGTCGTTATAACATTAATAGGACAACATCTTGTATACCGGTATATAAAACTCAAAATATCGTAGACTGGTACGGTATGTATTGATGGTATAGAGGTAATGGGAAGATGAGGAATCTCCTTGACTAGGCCTATTGCATGCATTAATTTTATTGATAACGGTACATTATTGCGGCACAGGGACGTATCCGGGAGGTGTGGGGAGCCGTGGCTGCCTTTTTGTATACAGTGTTAAAATTTTGAAACTTGTTCTTGCTAGCCAATACAATTCTTTCCTGGGATCATTCAAAATGAATAGGCCTACTTCTAAAATATGTAAATTTTAGAAGTATAACGATGGTGATAATGATAATACAGAATAGTAATAATAGGCCTATTAAAAGGTGAAGAAAATTGTGCTAAAGGCGAAAAAGGAAGTTGTGATTTGTTGATCACAATTATTACCGTATAGGTCCTAGTTAAAGCTTAGCTAGTTAGGCCTGTTGGCCTGGATATTAAGAGATCCCTGAAACGAGATAATGATAAATTTTTAGCGCTTCATTTTGTTTATAATGGTGATGTGATGATGAATTTTACCATATAAAAGTGTCATTTCCGGCCATGTAGAGGTATTTTTTCCACAAATTTTCTCACCTCATCCCCGACCGTAGTGGGACTAAGGTGGTTGTGAAATCAAGGCTTTGAAGTATTAAATACTCAATGACAATGTTTTTAAGTTTTATTTTCTATGGTACATTAATAAGATCTCTATGTTGCCGAAAATATAATACTGTATTATTTATTGTGCGTCTATATTGCAATTTTCACTCTATCCTCTCAAAACAGTCCTAAAAACATTCAGAGTGCGCTACCTCGATGGGGGATAAGCCCCTGGACCTCTGGCTTCGACCCTGGACCTCACCAGGGTCTTGGATTGGATTAGATTTATTCGGTGTAAACACCAATGATAGCTCACAAAAGTCTATAAGAAGACTTATTTCCAGTGGGGTCCTTCTGGTGGTGATTGGGCAGTACACCGGTAGACAATCCCCTACTTTTTTCCCGAAGGATGTACTGCGTCCTTTAACTGATGCACACGGGACCAACAGCGTAAACGTCTCATCCGCCGAAAGACGGTTCGCTATTGTAACTTGTATTTCAGCCCTCCAGCTGAAACAGAGAGGCAGCGATGGGAATTGAACCGGGAACCTAGAGATCTCCACCGTTCAGCGCACAAACAATGGCTACCACCAGATTAGTCGAATGATCTAAGCTGCCCTCTCTTTGGTCCTTGGCGTCCCCCAGCCGTTGGAGGGGGACACTCCACCCCCCGCTACGTACTACGCTCGCATAACTTCCACCCCCCCACCCCACTTCAAAATCCTGACTACGTGCCTGATTATTGATCGATAAACATTATGAAGGATCTAACCACTCTCTATATTTAATAAATCTAGCATAAGGCTATACGTCCTTTGTTTTTTTTTTTTTTTTTTATAGTAAATGTTCAACTTTAAAATATTTAAAAAATAGGCTCCCATATTACTCTTTCACTGTACTATTTTACATATAGTATTTTGTGTTGTTTGTCGTTTTAATGTAATATTGTATATTTTATTTATAGATCAAAATTAAGTTCTTGAATCTTGAATACGGTATATCATCATCATCATCATCGTCATCATCATCATCATCATTACTATTTTTGTTACTCGTACTCCTATTGTTGTTGTTGATATAGCCCACCTTACACTTCCTTGTCCTTGTATCGGTACGTCCGGAGTGGGCGTGCGTACATCTAGAACCCCGGTCTTCTTTGTCCTGTAATCTTTCATATAAGCATTAATATCAGAAAAGTGAACGAATCGACCATGACTCGAGTTTGATGGTGATGAACACGTAGTGAATAAGCTCTCGGTAGTCCTTCTCGTGCGCATTATTCGTGGGAGGAGTTTCGTTTGTCGTTGATCTTTGCGCAACGCAATCTTGTGTGCCACAATCCCATCACAACACGACATTTGTTTCCAGAAACATTTGCAAACATCTTCGCACATATTCCAACCACATAGCATGTAAGAGCCGTCGGTTCGATTACCCGTATCATCTTTTCTTGGTGATGATCTTGGTTCCATGTAGGTCTTATCTGCACCGAAGGAACATCGATGGGGGCTCTGGTTTGTCCATCCACTGCGTGCAGACATAGACACTACTACTGTACCGATTACATTACATGTGGACGAAACATCCAAACAGTCAGCTTCATTTTAATCACAATATACAACGATTATGAAACAGCTCGCCGTTACCAATATTAATAAGAGTTGGCTCACTATCCTTAACAAAATGAACAATCAAATGTTTTATATACCAAATATATACTACTACTGTATAATAGAATGTAATCTCACTTGTGCTGGGCAGTAAAATGACCATGGTGGCTAAGTGCGGTAGAATATAGCAACCTTTTTTGTATGTAAATGCTGTCCTTTTATTGTGTATAGAGGCTTTGTCCTGAAGTCGTTACTGTCCTCTTAGGAATGGGAATATCTCATAAATTGAAAAATCGATAAATCTGACCGACTTCAGCTTTGGCAATTATCTGCCCGGGTGTCCCACGTCACAGACTTACAAAGCACACTTGAAGAAAACAAAAACACAGAAAGGTAAGAAAAACTAATCGAAAGAAAGAACACAATAAACGGCTTAGAAGTCTATCAATGTTGTTATGAACACACACATTAGCTTGAGGCAGGGATTAAGATGTATTTAATTAGTCAATTGGAACAATTAAAATGTATGATTTCAACCAATGTCATTCCTTTCTGGAGGTACGTACAGTACTATGCTGGGGCAGACTGGGACACAGTCATTGGTCGGTTAGATTTAGCGCTCAGTGAGCTTTTAAACAGTTACAGTTAGACTACTGGTTCGATTCCCGGTGGTAGGCCTATATATTTCTGTGTTTTGCCATGATGCAACAGTGATTCACGTTTTGCAAGGTACACGAGGAAACGCGTCGGCCATCATAAACGCAAATAACGCAACTGTACCTTTTTTATAAGCCTGATTTCCATACAATCGCTACACGCTATCGACGACACAGCCAGTGGCGTAACGACGGAGCCGGTGGCCCTGTGGTATTCTGGGGCTGCTGGCCCTTTTTGGGTCCTGGTCGCAAATTTCTGTCGCAATTGGACAATTTTTCGACTAACTCATTTTCCGGTTGTAATGTGTTTTGTAGCACCTATGGATCACGTAATTGGTATTTTCATGATCACTGGGAACCATAGGCTTAATGAAAGAATCATCCAAAAAACGGCTAGATGAAAAATAGGCCAATTTTGAAAAAAAAACAAAACTCATTTTCCAATTGTTGTGTGTTCTGTGGCACAATATTTTCATGATCCTCGCGTACCATAATGTAAGAAAAACGACTAAGAGGGAAAAGACCAATTTTGGAAAAAAATACTTCCTCTGTTAATGAATTGCTTAAAGTATTTGTTTATTACTGTCAATCGTGTCGTCAACTCTCAATGTTTTTCCTATCCCAACCCGTGCACTGACTTTTCTTTAGTGCTCGGTTTGCCCGACCTTTTTTTCAGTTAGTCTGCAAAAGGTAAACACTAATTGTAAAATGCATTTTCACTAGTGTATAATACGCCAACACTAATTGCTTATTGTTGAATTTAATTCACTGCATGAAGAATGAAAAAAAAAGTATGCACCTATAAATTCATCAAGTTTAGATATGTTAATGATAAGAAAACCACTGACGTGAACTCGCGTTTTGAATATACCGAGCGGTACAATTCCTCAAGATGATTGATGGCTTCCACAAAAGGCGATTGGTGGTGTATTACAGTAAATGTATTTGTTTGCTACTACTATATTACAATACTACCATTTTGCAAAGGTGAATATTTATGGATACAGGTACTTGAATGTTGCCACCAGATTCATAGCAGCTCCGACTGATGCTAATGACACTGAATTAGAATGATCGACATTCCATTAATTTAACATTGTTGCTAATCGTTTTCAAACATGTTTCACATCTCTGCATGATTGTGTGCAATAAATACAGTAGTTGTATTATTGCTTATAAAATTGTTATGTTGCAAGTGAAATGAGGGCATTGCTGTTCCAAAAAATTGTGGAACAGGACGTGTTCTTTTGTTATTTACTGTTCCTAACTTTCTTCATGCACATAAACGTTGCCCACTAAACACGAATACATATTATTCCAATTCTGCATATTTCAATTTTATCCATGAGGCATGCTGCGGAGGATTGGAAAAGTCACTAGGATGGGAGAAGTCCGAAATGCATGCGACACTGGTACAAAAACTAATGCAGTGACACTCTTAAAAATGACCCCAATAAGATTAAGCAGAAGAGCATTAGGCAAAACTTTTTTTTACACCTTGTTTAGCGAACCCGCCGACGACAAATTATCATTCTGAATAAAAACAAAAATTTAATTTATTATGCCTGACGCTGCCTTGAAATCTCCAAAAATAAGATATGAATCTTTGTTCCTAATTACATAAATAGGAAGTAATGTTTTCAGCAAAACTATTTGCTAAATAAAAAAACAAAATTATATTTTTTTCCGCCCTCCTCTCACGATTAAAAAAAAAAAAAGTTTGCGAAACATGGCTTAAAAAGTCTAGCCTTAAGGCACACATACAATGGTTTATGCAATCATAACAAAGCACTGGTAATTTTTTTTCTAACTTGCTTTATTTCCAACACAATTTCAAAAAATGCATTGATGTTACATAACAGAAATAATAGTGTTGTTTAAATAAAGTAAAATATATTTTATGAAGACTTTGTTGATGTGGATGCTCGACTTAATCAAACAGTCCAAAGCCCATGTCGTCATCAGACTCCTCAGATTCTTCCTTCTTCTTTTCTTCCTTCTTTTCCTCAGCAGCACCTGACAGAGGTAGAAACATATACATGTTATTATTATTATTATTAAAATCATAATCATGATTTTTAGCTTTATTGTCATCATTAAAAAATTACATATATTATGACGAAAACAATCTCTCTCATATATGTAGCATGCATAAAAATAGCTACTCTAATATTTGACAGTTCCCTTTGTTACCTATCAGCCTCTTACTTGAGTTTTAAAAAAATTATGAATATGAATTAATACTTCACTAATTGTGGTAAAGATTTTATTTATATAGACTCTGAATGAAGTATTGAGCTACCAGTTAATATAATCATATAAAAATTATAATGCAAAAAATGTTTTCAAATTCATTATTTCTCCCTTATTACCATTCCTAATGAGTTTTTATTTTTAAATGACAAAAAAGGCTTTATTATTAGTCAAGGTATCCTCACAATAAAAACAACAAAATAAACTAAAAAGGACTAAAAACAATATTAAAATTGTAAAGCTAAAATTTCTAGATTTAGCAAATCAGAGCAAAAAGAACATAAAATTATTTTTATCAAACAATGACTAGTTTTGATGAATTTGAGTGACAGTATTACTTACCACCAGCTGCGGCTGCTCCTCCTCCACCAGCTGCTGCAACTGCACCGCCACCACTTGGCACTGAAGCCAACTTGCTTTGACCTGAAATTATTAATCACAATAGCATTTGATAGACAATGTTTCATTTCTCTACATTTCAATGGAGAAAATTTGGGCAGGCTATTTCTTTTTGGAAATAAATTCTGCGGTTAGCAATCCTAGTATGAACTTGGTTCTACTAATGTAATTGCTCGGTACTTGGGCGCAGCTATAAAGATACACAATTACTAGGGCATTATTATGGAAATGGCAGAAGATAATGGTCGGCTAGTAAACAAACTTCTACAAAATTACCTTTCACATTTGTTGCGTAACAGTTTAAATTTCAATGAAAAAGCATGTTCAGAACAATTAATATATCTAGTCAAAGTTTTTCAGTCGAAAGATGGTGTTAATTGAATCATCATAACATGCTGCATCAAAGCAAAAAACTCCATGCAAGATAAACTACTGTACTTAGGAAAAGGCAATAATTAGCAGACAACATTGCTATTTAGTCACTGATACATAGCAATCAAGCCTTCACAACCCATCCGTACCTAAAAATGGTGCTATTTATTTTTTTTAAAATTTTATATGGTTTTACTGATCCTTGTAATTATGCAACTGCAGCCATTAAAATTGTGAATCGAAATGAGAACTTAAGACCTGTCCAGACTATCAAATTGTAATTAACGAATTTACTTCCAGGGCTGTTGCCTCTTTCATTGTTTATATGTTAATTGCTATTAGTTATACAGTTATTCTGATATTATTATTGCTCAATTTAATTATTTTCTACTGTATGTATATATATATATATATATATATATCAAAGAACACAATAAACGACAAGTACCTTCAGCAATCACTTCATTGATGTCCTTTCCTTGAAGTTCTTCTATCACACGGTCCAGCTTATCTTCTTCAGCATCAATCCCAACACTACCAAGAATCTTCTTAATATCCTTTGCATTGGGGTTGGTGTTACCACCCAAGGTAGCTAACAGGTAAGCGGCCACGTAACGCATCTAAATTATATACAAAGTGAAATGAAGAATTTATTAATATGGAGTTTGGTTTTAAAAGCAGCGTGTTGTATCACCAAGCAAACCAATTCCTATCCATTTCGTAGTTAGGATAATATATAGCAAATGCTAAACAGTTGCTATCAGATGTACTGTATGACCACAATGGAATGCAAGTTTGAATTATTTATGAACAGCATGTTCAGAAAAAATGAAATCATCAAGTTTTTCAGTCGAAAGATGGTGTTAATTGAATCATCACAACATGCTGCAGCTCAAATAAATTTATTTACACATTTAGGCCTACAGTATTTATATTTTTTATGAGGGTTGTCTATATAGCTGCTGGAGCTGATCAATTGGAACCCTCATGGATGGATCAAAAATGTGCCTGTTTAGGTTACATTGTCTACTAATAAGGTAACCATTTTAAATGTACAATATAAAATCAATATCAAGTGGTTATTCATACACCGGCAGTACATCAGATGATAGTGCTAATATGTGCATACACTTAAACCTGATTAAAGGCAGGTGTATCAAGTGATAAATAAAGAGAGTAAATGGCATAATATTAATAGCCTAGCCAGAGTCTATTTAGTGATCTAAACTGAATTGTTGTCAACTGTGTATTTAAAGTGTCCTTATACATATATTCGAATTTTAACATTTGATGAGAAATTTTTACTTAAATCTTAACAAATTGAATAATTTGAAGCCTAATACTCAAATGTTAATTGGGTAACCTCCGCCTAAGGTTAGTTGGAGTGCACCCTCACTGAAAAGATGGCGTTCTCTGCGATTTACACGCAACAGATAGAAGCGTCAATTTGGCACAGAAAAGTAATCACTTTTGGGAGAGGGCATCCTAGTCATTGCTATGGATCTGAGATAGGGTGTTCGCGCTACGCTAAAGTTTGTTGCCAAGTACGTTAATTGTTCCTTAATTGTTCTAAAGAGAGGGCGCATTGTAAATCAGACGATTCTAATTGTCTTAGTATTATTATCTTAATAATAGTAATTTAAAAAGTTATTGTTATTGGTGTTTTATTTGTATTATTACACTGCCAAATGCGAAAGTTATAATTTATTTAAACGGTTCACTTTTAAGTTTTATTACATCAGTTTTATAAATAATTCATAGTGTTTGTGTATCTTTTTAACTTAATAATTTTGCAGTCATATACATCTTAATGGATAAACACTGTCATTGTTTTGTGAAATCCGATTTCACAAAACAATGACAGTGCAGTCACACAAATGTCGGAAGACCGTGCCGTGTGGGCTTGGTGTGAATCTCAAACACGCTGCCGTCATCATCATCATAAATAAAAATAGGCTGCCCAGCAGCAGTTTTCCCAAGACACGAATAAACCCTGAATTTCTCATATACTTATATAAATTTAAAGCTATTTTTAAAAACGAGATTATACACAATAAATCAAGAAGCTATACAAGCATAAAATCACTGGTGGAAAACAGTAATGAACCTACTTTTAAGTCTTTTTCGACACGAAACTATGTGCACGCTGTGTGAATTTGTCGCGAGTTCAACGAGAAAGGACGTTTGCGCATGCTTGACTAATTTTTTTCATCAAAATGGCCTCCAAACGATTTGTATAAACGATACCAAAGATCGTACAGCGCCGCTATACGATCTTTGTAAATACTGTACTGCAACAGCTGAACTGACACCCGAGCCGAGAGGTAGGCGTAGCCTGACCAACCTAAGCCTAACTAGGCCTAGGCTATGTTTATTTATATACCATATGTGCATTTACCATATGATAGTGATAATGTGTGTCAGAAGAACGTTATAATATTCACAAAACACCGTTAGAGTATTAAGTGAATATTCTATTCCTAGGCCCAGCTGCTAGGCTCGGCCTTATTCAAGTGGCCTAGGGCCTAGGCCATCCTCCTCTGCTGCTGCTCAGGCTAGTAGCACTGCAGGCCTCATTAAGTCTTGGTATGGTAGGCCTTACCTAGATTGTTATTAGAGACCTACCCCACCAAGAGAGGTATAAAAAGGCTGTCAAGAAGGACCCCACTACTACAGTAATAATAGTACAGTCTGCACAGTTTAAAAATTGTGCAAGCAAATCCTTGCACAATTTTCAAATTGTTTTACAACATTCTCCTGGCACAGCACAGTTTGCACTTGCACAGTTTGAGGATGTTGCACAGCTTTAGAATGCATGGCATAGTTGGTGCAGCTTGACAGTGTCTACCGTGTGCCGTACAGTAATGTTTTTTAATTGTGCGGATGATGCCTCAAAAGCCAGCTCATATTTGCATGGAAAATCTCAAGGAAAATAGGTGCACAGAATCATAATTGCTGCATAACTATTCATATAACTTGGAGCTGGAAGTGGCAGTCATACTCTATTTAGGGTGACTCCACACAAGAACAACTGTCATTGTTTACATATTTAGATTAGGTCAAAGCCTAATTTTTGGCAAAATCTGCATGGAAATCGGCCCTTATTTTCCAAAATACACAAATGGATTTTTAGGCCAAAACTATATCCGCCATGCAGGCCTTGCTTTACAGAGACTGGGATAGGTGCATTCTCATCGAATCTAAATTTTCGGCATCGGATAACCCAGCAAACCACTCATAAAATCGGATCAAAGTATGTAAACAGGGATGTTTCGTTCAGCGCATTTCAGTTCGAATCCATTGTGAATGCAAATTTACCAAGGAATTTTTTGCTACATACACGGGCCCAAGTTTCACTTTAGAAAGAGGAGGGCATGTTGCCATTAACCTAATCCACATATAAATATTAAGTGGCATAAATGTCGTTTTATGTATATATATGTATATATATATATATGTTTAT